AATTTCTTTAATTTGAAAAAAATCTTGATTCTGTACTATATCCATTTAAATGAAATTTATTAAAAAATGAAGTAGGTGCCTGCTGTGTGCGTTTTCTTACAATCATGAATGAGTCTTTATACTCCAGAAGTTCACTAATGGTTTTAAACTGAGAATAAAAAGACCTGATCTTTGTTTTCACATGGTAATCCTAGTAGCACATTGCATCCTGCTCCCTCCATTTTCATGACATCTCTTGCTTCATTGATTCTTTTTTCCAATCACTTTAGACTGACTCTCTCTCTTTGGCTTGGGATCACTTTTTTCTCCAGGCATGTTCTTCAAGTCTGTGCTTACATTTCTTTGATAACTGATAACTTGTCTAATGGTAGATGTCATCAGAATATAATTTTCAAAACATCAAAAACATGACTCATACAAATACAGAATGGATGTATGTCAAAGTTTTGTTCACTTCATTAATTAATGAGGGAATCACTTAAATGGTAAAACTGGCTCAAAATCTTTTTAAGGATTGAGTATAAGTAGCAATTTTTTAGAAAAAGAAATACTAGAAGAAGATTTCTAGATTAGATACAGAAGAGGTTGATATCCTACAGGGCAAGAAAACTGTAACTTTTGGTGATCTTTTTTGCTGGACAGGAATCTACAACCTAACATGTAACTTCACAGGCTTTGGGCTCAAATCCAATATTAAATAGCAAAATCAAACACAAGTAAATTGCCCTAGAGGCTTAATAATCCTTGGGTGGACTTGTCAACAATGCTTCATTACAACATTGAAAGGACATGCTGTACTCGTTTCTGATGTCTAAGTCTTGAATAATTTTTTAAACAATATACTCGACTATTACAAACACTTGACTGACTCAAATAGATAGGTGTAGTTTATTAAGTTCTTTAATGCCTCCTCCACACTTGTGCATTAAGAGGCTGTCTGACATGGCAGGACACTTGGTCAGTAACTCTCTGTATGACTTCCAGCCGGTTGTAATCTTTCTGCTCTTATTTTCCTCTACTATCAAATGAGGAGCTGGAATAAATTGATCACTGAAATCTCTCCCAGTCTTAAAATGTTGTTATTCTTTAAGAATGGGACTATAAAGGGCAAAATATCTTGGTCCTTCAATTAGTGTGTGGGGTTAGGCAACAGGGTCCCCTAATGGTCTTCGATGTATTCTGGGCAGGCTAGTCTTCTACTTATCCTGGAATGTCTGAGGAACTTCCCCTCAGAAGAAGTTTGGAAATACCTCCTGTTAGGACCCTTGATTTAATTGGTCTGTCTGTGTTATCTAGTGCACAATAATACTGTAAACAAGCAACGAAAAAACATCAGTGGCATACAATAAACATTTATTTTTGCTGTCAAGTCTATGAGTCAACTGGGAAGTTTTGTTGATCTTGATTAGGCTTGACTGGACAGTTCATTGTCTCTTAGTTGAGACAAACGCATGTGTATAGTGGTTAGCTAGCCATTGGGTGATCTAGGCTAGCCTCACTGGGATGACTGACTCTGCTCCAAAGGATCGCTCCAGCAGGCTAACCCAAACTTGTTCTTGTGGTGTTGGTGGCACTGTTTTGAGAGAGAGCAGAAGCAAGCTGCTCTCTTAAGTCTCAAGACTCTTAAGGCTAAGGCTTGGAAATGACACAGCATCACTTCCATCACATACTGTTGGCCAAAGATAGTCATATGGAAGCCTGAAGGGAAATAGACTTCATCTCTTGATGAGAGAGGAATGGAAAACTTAGATTACCAGGGGCATGAAGATGAATTGGTGCCATTTTTGTATTCAATCAACCATATAGCACATGATTCACAGTTGAGATTTCAGGAAGTTCCAGAAGGATACTTTTCTGAAGGGAAAGAAGACAGCGTCCTATAAATGCTCTTGGGCTTTCTTATGGGGTGCAGTTAAGTTACTTAGAGTTAGTTTCATCCTTTCAGGTCTTACTTTTAAAATTCATTAGGCAGGACTAGAGCAATGTTTGGGGCTAATTATTCCGTATTACTGAGGCAAGGTCACTCTGAGTACTCTGCCAAATGCTATATCAATGTTGAGATTTTCCAGTCTGGCTGGTGAAAACATGCACTATTCCTGTTTTTGCTGGGCACTGTTTCTTGTAATCCTTTCAGGTGGTTCTTTTTGTGGCCTTGGGTAGTTACCTCACACTCATAAACTGCTGTGCTTAGCAAAATACTCAATACAGACTCTCCAGATTTGTGGAGTTCTCTCTTTTTCAGCATTCGCTATCCTGTTACTTTTTACTATGAACTCTAGCCACCTTGATTTCCCCAGATTTTCAGCTGCATCTCCTCAATTTAGAGAATCTGTCAGATTTTTCTTGGATTCTTCTTTCCTGTACCACATCATGGAAGTTCTCTCAAGTTTGTTTCCTCTCTCTCAGTGATTGTGGTCTATGTTGTCTAATGCCCAGTGTCTTCAAAAAACAGTTGTTTCACATATTTTTTCTAGTGTTTTTGGTCATTTCATGCAGGGGAGTAAATTCAGTCCCCGTTAGTCCATTTTAGCCAAAACTGGAAGTCTCCAATCCTTAATTTAGTCTTATGAAAGATACGGATTTCTAAAGATTACGAGTAACCTAACTTGGTGGAAGAAGGCAGTATGCCAATATCAGATTATATTTGAAAAAATATATTTCTCTCCTGCTTGTCCAATTGGTCCTTTATTTCTCTCTTCTTTTCTCTTCTTAGTATATATAGCATTTTGCCACAGTCTAACCTTTCATTATTTTTTACTTTTTGTTATATGTTTTATTGTATCATGTGTGGGTGTGCATATTATCTTGCCGATGACAATGTACACTCTTTAAATGTTGTGGATATACCTTATCCTTCTTTATATTGTTCTCCATGTGTATAACATTTTAGAACTAATGCTAATAAATTGACCATTATCCTTTTCTGTAAAAAAAGACTCAAAATCTGAGAATTAATTGTGATGTTTACAATGCACTTTGTAGAGGAAAAGTGCTGGGTAAATAATGGTACCTTTAGCTTTTAGGTTGATGTCAATTTTGGTTTCAATTTTCTCCACCAAAATTAGGTGCCATATGTTAGACTACAATTTCTCATGAGTTCGTCTGCAACCTGCTTAGAAGAATACGCCAGGCTGACATGAAGAATACTTTCTAAACCTCTCAGATCCTGCTTTGGCTCTGCATTTTCTGAGGCTTTTTTTCTTTCTCTACTCCGAGCGAACTTGAAGTCATAATTCACAAGGACAGTCATGCACTGCATAAGAATGTTTTGGTCCATGATGGACCGCATATATGATGGTGGTCCCATAAGATTAGTACCATATAGCCTAAGTGAGTAGTAGGCTATACCATCTAGGTTTGTCTAAGTACACACTATGATGTTCGCATAACCACAAAATTGCCTAATGACGCATTTCTCAGAATGTATTCCCATCATTAAGCGATGCACGACTGTAAATGAGATATGGATTGAATACTTTCAATCTGCTTGATGAGTGTGGTATTGAAAAAAGGTTATATTAGTAGGATAAACATTTTCTATAAAGTGAGCACTCAACTAATTGTATATAGTATCATCTGTGAAATTTCTTGTAGACTGGCTCCTTCTAATCACCCACTTGTGAGCTGTTCTTCTTCCCCTCTCTCTCTCGTCTATTTCTCCACCTCCTCACCCACCTTTTATTCTATGAAATGGGAGGGGGAGAGGATATAGAAAGTAATTACAGTGTGCTCTTAATATAACTTAAACATAATTAAGGAGGAAAAATCATTCCAAAAAATAGTATATTCTAAAGACAGACATGACTATTTTAGGAATCATTTGAGCAATTGCTTTCCTTCATTAGAGTGGGCAAGCTATAGTTGGCTATACAGTTATTTATCATGCCTGTCAAGATGTAAGGAGAATTAATTTTAATGTTTACCATGCATCTGTATTCAAATGTAGACTTGTTCTACACATAAAATAATTTGATGGAAAATAGTGATTTCCATTTTGATTTAAATGCTCTTTATTGGTAAATAGTTTGAACTCACATATTTATGCAATGAAATGAGGATGGTGCTTATATGTCTAATATAACATTTTATTTAAAATTAGTTTTCCTTTATATTTTCGCTATTAATTGTGAAAAACTAAACTGCATTCGGATTTATAGCTTTTATAATAATGTATATGATTGCGTATGTAAGATTATGAAAATAAATCCCAGGAATTTGGAAATTAAAACTTTAGCCGGCCCAGTGGCACAGCAGTTTAGTTCACCAGTTCTGCTTTGGCAGCCCGGGGTTCGTCAGTTCGGATTTTGGGGGCAGACCTACGCACCACTTGTCACGTCACGAGTGGCAGGAGTCCCACACATAAAGTAGAGGAAGAGAGGCATGGATATTAGCCCAGGGCTAGTCTTCCTTAGCAAAAAAGAGGAGGATTGGCGGCAGATGTTAGCTCAGGGCTAATCTTCCTCCCCCCCCAAAAAACTAACTTTTGGAGTTTTTTTTTTTTCCTTTTTAAGGAATGTCATGCACATATGGATGATTGTTATTGTTATTCGGTGCACAAGAGTTGGTACAGTTCTTCCTGTTTATAAAACAAACATATACAAGACTCAATGAAATGTATGCACTATATCACAGAATATTATTTATAATAAAACTGAGCAAAGAAGTTGTACAGCTCTCATCATGAACTCCTGAAACAAAATCAAGTGTAACTCTAGTTTATAGTGCTAAAAGCCTCATTTTCTTTCTATAGATTTAAACTTTAATTATTTACAAGAATGGATTTTATTTAGAAATAGAATACTTTTGATTCAGAGTTTCAAATATATACTTTTTTTTTAGTTAGGTCTTTTAAAGTTTTTACGTCAAGCTGAGTAGCTATAGCATGTTAATAAAGGTTTATTTTATAGAAGCAACTAATTTTAATTATTTAATCCCTTTAAATTTTGTATAAACCCACATAAAATTACATAGCAAATATAATTGTTAATATACCTTTTCAGAACATAAATGCCAATCTGAACATGAGAAAAAGAACAAATGCCCTGGTCCACTCTGCATCTGATGGTGGCAACAGAACTGAGGTGGGAAACCATTCAAGCAAATCTTCCACAGTTGTTCAAGGATCCTCGGAAGCCACACCGCAGTCTCAGTTAGCTTCCAGTCCAAACCCGTTCAGCCATGCAAGTGCAGCTGAAACGATATCTGCGGCAAGAGCACTTCCATCTGCAACCTCTTCTGCGCCGAGTAGAACTGGGTATGTGCCCCGACAAGCTTCAGTTGGATCTGCTTCTACTCACCGCGTGTTTGGATCAAGACTGGAGCGAATTAAGACCACACTTAATACTAGAGGGGCTTCTGGGAAGTTGTCAGCCACTACTGCTGCCTCTGCTCCACCACCTTCTGGATCTGGCGCAAGTAAAATAGATAAATATGCCCGCATTCTCTTTCCAGTAACATTTGGGGCATTTAACATGGTCTATTGGGTTGTTTATTTATCGAAGGACACTATGGAAAAATCAGAAAGTCTAATGTGATTTTGTTGTGATAGTAGTTTCCTAAAAGATGATGAACTTAATGCAGAATGTCTTTTTAAATGTTTTTAAAGATAAACAATTATTCTTTACTAAAATAAAAATTCTACGTAATTTTTCCATTTAAAAAATTCCAGCCAGTTGTTGGGAGAGTTAATTAATTCCTCAGTGAAGAGAAAGTGAGCCATCTTTCATTTCAGAAAGAAGATTTAAATAGAATCAATTCAGCACTCAAATTAGACAGAATACGGACCATCCTGGAAAGTTGGGACGAGAGAAATAGGGCTATTAGAGTTACTCAGTGCATATTTATGCACTGAAATTTGAAAACAGACTTTTTTTTTATATACTCTATGAATATCAACCAGCCACCATAAATTTCCCAGTGGCACTGCCCTTAATCAGAATTGTTTATCGGATATTATATGCAGTGACCTTTGGAGATTCTCTTAGTATCTGCAAGAAAAGGACTTTCCCTGTTAAATGAAACATTTTCAGAAGGGAAAATGGAACAAAACAAATACTGACCAATAGAGTGAAACCTCTGCTGCATCAAAAACAAAGACAGAGACCAGGGGAAATGTGTTCCCTGTCATATGTTGGCCAAACAGGACTTAACAGTTGACTTGAAAATTTGTGCTTTGAGCCAAAGTTTAACTCATTGTGTGACTTCTTTTTGACAGTAGTTCATTCAGTTATGTATTCTTTCAACATATAGTTATCCAGAGCCTACCATGTTCCAGGCACTGTGCTAGAACTGTCTCTCTAGGAAAGCTCTTTCACCCGTACCTACAATATTACCTAAATAGTAGAACAGCCAATGCATGCTAACAAACCATAAACTAGCAGAGGACGTTGCATTCTTTAATGGAGGAAATTTATTTAGAGTCTGACAACATATTCAAAATATTTGTTTCTACTATCCTGATAGAGGATAACAAGTATATTGTTCACATAGCCACCTTTGAGATAAGTATACTTTAGCATAACTTCAGGAATTGACTTCAAAATGTAATGAAAATGTGTTATAGATTGTCCTCTACATGAAAAGTACTACGTACCTGAAAGTAGAAATCTGGGCACAGTAAGACCTTATAGATTACCTGTCTCAAATTTGATCGCATCAGAGAATAGAATTTGAACTGAATCACAGAATCATTAGAGTTAGGAACTCAATACATGGCCTTTTTGATGCTTTTCCAAACATAGATCTGTATTAGCTGGTGAAATGCTAACCTCAGGGGAGTTTTTGTGTCCATAGTTCCATATTTCTGGGCAGTTCTGTGTTTATTTTGGGGCAGTTTTCATACAGTTTCATAACTAAGATGAGTTTTTTAAAATTAAAAGAGCAGCAAAGAAATGGAGTAAAGAAAAAAATCATAGCCAAGGGGTAGGATACCACTGACGGTGTTATGCAATTTATCAGAATTTTCGTGTCCTGACTTTTCTTTTTCATTAGGTAGGCTTAACAACTTAATTGAATTTCTTGCAGCTGTCTTATGCTGCTGTATCTAGGTCTGGTTTTTCTGTTGTGTTGCTTCCAGATTTTTCTTCTGTACTTCTCTCTTCCTGATCTGGGTGTGTCAATTAATGTGTTCTGGATGTTTGGGGGAACATTTGATAGAAATGGCCACCTTGCGAACAGGATCTCTTATTTTTTAAAGAAGAAATGATATTAATTAACTGGCATTAATATTTCAGTTATTGCATTACCTTGAAATGGTTGTTTATGAGAATTGTAAAATGTGCAAATACCAACTGTGAGTCATATCTGAGAATTCCTTCTTGGCTAGCTCTCTAGGTATTTCCTAGAATGGATAATTTTAAGGCTGAAAGAGGCTTTAGAAATCATCCAATCCAAACCCCTTACTTACAAATTGATGCCAGTAATATGAGGCCCAGTAGAATTTGTACTATGTATATATTTAATAAAAAGTACTTGTACAAAAAAGCTTATCATTAGTTATTTCATGAATGTGAGTAGATTTCTAGCCTTGAGGACAATGCTTGAAACTGTGGTTGGAAACAGTAATCACTCATTATTCCAATGAAATGACCTTATTTATTTGCTAAGGGACATACTCCTTGCTTATCTATTGCCTATTCTTAAGAAATATTTGATTGGTTTCCTTTTTTAAAAGAAATTCTTCTCCTATAAATTTTGCAGATTTTAAAGTGATAAAAATAAGTGATCTTAGATTTGTAGACCAGACATCCAGGTGAACTTCTAGTTTTTTTCTTACCTTTGTATATGAAGAAGATTTTAAAATAAGTCAGGTAGCCAAAAAAAGAGAAAGGATAAAATTAATCAGGATTCTTAAGTGTTAACTTGAAGGATAAATTGACAGGAAAGTCTAATCATTTGTACTTAAAGGAATTATTTCATTTGTACACAATGTTAATAATAATAATAATGCATAGTTTGTTTGCTCTGACTGAATTCCATTAAATTAATTCAAGGCTAAACTTTTTATTTTGGTCACCATTTCTATCATTCTAATAACTCAGAGCTACATTAAACAAAACACTTTTGTGAAGAACCAATCACTTTTCTCCGTTAGACAATCTCACCAGAGTCAGGAGAGCCCAAAGTCCTGGTAATTTGTGAAGAAGAAGCAGAATTCTGGCTGAGAATGGTAGCTTTGTATGTCTCTAGCTTTTAAGTTGAAATTCAGAATTGTTTTATTCAGTACCACTGTCTATATTGTAGCTTTCAACTCCAAGTTGGCTACTAACTGCTACATAATTACTTCCAATTTCCTGCAGGCATTACTAGGTATAATTATGTGTTTACGTGATTAATCCACAGTTAAAAATGACTTGCATTTGTGTATATACAGAGTATTTGAGTAATATGTATTTTAAATTGGACCTGATATATCTTGAATTGGAGTAGGCAGAGAGTAGAGTCACTCTCTTTTACAGATGGAAATGAATCATAGACAAGTTAGTGACAGAGATAAAAGCACAGGGCAGGAATGAACTTTGAAAGGTCATTTTTCAATCACCTCACCTTAGCAACGGCCACGTTTCAAGCAATACATAAAAAATTTGTTTGTGGTTTATTTTACCCATGAACTGGTCGATTCTGCCTGGCCTAGAAAAAGATCCCTACTCTCCACTCTCTTGTGTTCCAGTGGTCCTCTCTTCTAGATTTGTGAATAACCTCCCATGGAAAAGCACCAGATGGAGAAACAGGTGAACTGATTTCCAGTTCTGACTTAATCGTGGTTTTAAATGAGTCGTTTAACCTCTCTAGGCTTGTTACTTATTTATAAGAGGAAGGAGAGACTAAATAATATCTAAGATTTCTTTCAATTTTAATATCTTCTGATTCTCATAGTAGACTAAATACAAGCATATTCTTGGAATAGACACACTCATACTTTGTGCCGAAATAGATGTTTATGAGGAAAAAATCTTGATTTTAGTTCCACTGCTTAATTACTTTAAGCTCACGACTTGCCTCAAACTAGGGTTTCCTTATCTTAAACAGAGAAAATGACATCTCTCCATTTAGATTAGATATTTTCTTCCCCATGGGAGATTTTGTTCTTTGAAGACTAAATAATTTTGGTTATTTCTATTTTCTGGTTTTATTCATCTTTACTAAATGGTCAATGTTGGGTACTGTGCTGATTTTTAGATATACATAGGTAAATGAAACTGATTCCTTTCCTTACCGGCGGTCACAGTTTGGTATTGATGATAGATGTGTAGAGAAATAACTATGGAGTGTAGTAAGTGCTTCATTAGTAAAGAGTAGGGCCCAGAGTAGGGTAATATGAGTGAGTACTCACTCTGGGCACAAAAATACAAAGAGGTGCCCAAAACCTCAATAATCAAGATAAATAATATTTTGAAAGAATATTTAAAAAAATCAAAATTCATGCAAAAATCCATGATGAACAAAATACCCAAATTTTAAAGATGGGATGAGTATTAAGTTTTCCTTTTGCATCATGCTCTAATATTGCTCTACATGGCGCTGATACAGATGCACATAATTTTATAACTTTGTTGATGTGAAGGAAAAAAGAGTGATGGCAGGGTCGGCTTCACAGAGATGATGTTGAATTGAATTTTGTAGAATAATTTGGAGTTCTAGCCCCTTTGCCTACTCCCACAAACAAACAAACAAACAACAGAAGCACATTTTACCATCACCTGAAGCATGAAAAGAAGGATAGATTTGGAACTTCAAGGAGAACACTTACTACAAAATAGTTCAGGGTCATGGAAGAGAAGGGTGAATGTGGGGAAGAATGTGAGAGTTGTTGATGTGGGAAAGATCTGCTTGGGCTGAATTAGAGAGATTTTTCTGGAAATTACTAAAGAAATTGGGTTTGATCCTGGATTAGTGGCAATTTGTTGAAAATCTTGCAGGGTAATATGATGAAAATGAACATTCTATGCTCCTGTTTTAGAGAAATCACCTGATTGCTGTATGAGCCATGGAATGGGGGGGCCACGAATCTAGAGGTAGTACAAGAATTGAGATGTCTTGTTTTTGTTTTCTCTCAATCTTTACCTTCCATTCTTTTTAATCCCAATGACTTTACTGTTACTTGTAAAAGTGATACATGATTGTTAAAGGTAGGTATTGCAGAAATTTAAAAACAACCTCAAAATCCCACCACTGAGAATTTGTTAATATTTCATGAATATTATGCTGATACTTTTGTATAGATAAAATTGTGTAGAAGAGTAGACTGATTGATTGATTGAAAGACAAAAATAAATTTAGGAGCCAAATATGCCATGTATGAATGTTGTTAAATAATAAAAAAAATAAATTTACCTTTAAATCAATTTAAGATAAAAATACTAGGATAAAACTGAAGAAATTGTTGAAATTTAATTAAAGCAAGAGATTTTGGAGACTCTATGTTTTTTTTAATCCCAGATTTCAATCTTTAGTTCAGGAAAGGTTTTTCCAATTATGTGCCTAAATAATTTTTTCTTTCAGAATTCTAATTATGTTAAATCTCTTACCTTTATAACTACTTATAAGTCTCTATAGTCACTTTTGTATTTTTAAATTTCATGTCAGCTTTTGTTAATCATAACCCAAGTGAGCTTTCAGTTTTGTTTACACTATTTTAAATGTGTTTATTTTATTCTAAATCTCTAAAGCAATTTTCAACTACCTAATGGTTTCAGTCATTTTTTTGATTTTCAATTGTTTTCATTTTTTATTGCAGTTATTGCAATTGGATTATAACACTATCTAACTTCCAGGTGTACATCGTAATATATTTTCAATTCTGTGTAGATTACATCATGTTCACCACCCAAATACTAATAACAATCCATCACCACACACGTGTGTCTAATCAACCCTTTCGCCCTCCTCCCTATCCCCCTCCCCTCTGGTAACCACTAATCCAATCTCTGATACTATAGGTTTTTTCTTTTCAGCATTTTAAATAATTCATGCCACTCTCTTCTAGCATGTAGGGTTTCAGCTGAGAAGTCTGCTGATAGCCTTATGGGTTTTCCTTTGTATAGCACTTGTTGCCTTTCTCTTGCAGCTTTTAGGATTCTCTCTTTATCTTTAATTTTGGACATTTTAATTATGTGTCTTGGTGTGGGTCTCTCTGAGTTTATCTTGTTTCGTGCTCTCAGTGCTTCCTGTATTTGGATGTCTGTTCCTTCCTTAGGTTAGGAAAGTTTTCAGTTATTATTTCTTCAAATAGATTCTCTGCCCCTTTGTCTCTCTCTTCTCCTTCTGGGACACATATAATATGAATGTTAGTGTGCCTGGTATTGTCCCAGAGTTCCCTTAGACTGTTCTCATTCTTTTTAATTATTTTTTCTTTTATCTGTTCAGCTTGGGTAATTTCCTCTAGTCTTTCATCCAGCTTGCTGATCTGTTCTTCTGTATCATCTGCTCTGCTATTGAGTTCCCCTAGTGAATTTTTCATTTCTGATTGGTTCTTTTTTACGTTTTCCAATTATTTCTTGGCATTCTCACTGTGTTCATCCAGTCTTCTCCCAATATCAGTGAGCATGCTTAGGAGTTTTTGTTTGAACTCTTTGTCAGGTAGATTGCTTACTTATGTTTCATTTAGTTCTTTTTGTGGGGTTTTGTCCTGTTCTGTTGCTTGGAACATAAACCTTTGCCTCCTCATTATGCCTTTTTTTCCATGCTCATATCTATGTATTAGATGAGTCAGCTATGTCTCTTATTCTTGGAGAAGTGGCCTTATGTAAGAGATGCCCTTTGAGGCTCTGCACTATGCTTCCCTCTTGACACCAGTCTAAACATTCCAGGAGTGAGCCCTGTGTGGGCTATGTGTGCCCTTCCGCTGTGGCAGGGTTGCTCTTACTGCAGGTACCCAGGGAGACTGGGCTTTCCCACTCTGGCTGACTGTTTGTAAATCAGGTTTGGGGAGCCCCAGCACCATTGGCTACAAGGTCTAATAGCACACTCCTATTGCAGTTTTCCTGTTAATGGGTAGGCACCCAGTGCAGCTGCTTGCTAGACTCAGGGCTTTACAATTGCTGTAGGCCTCAGGCCTGCAAGGCTGTTGTCAGCTCTCTTAGGATTGCAACTGAATGGGGCTGGCCTCAGGCATGGGAGCACCCAACTGTTTCAGGCTTTGGAAGGTGGAGTTGATCCCATTTGTGGCTGTTTGTGAAGCTCAGGTCTTCTGCCACTGATAAGCCCCACCCCACACAGGTTCACACACACCATCAATACAGTCCTGGCCAGTGCACACTTCCTGACCCCTGGAGCATACCCACTTACCACACTGCAGTTGCCCCCACTTCTCCACCAAAGCCCTCCATGGTTCACTTGGTCCTCACACAGGCCCTGCCCCACAGAGGTGCACACACCCCCTACCTGTAGAGGATCTATGCAGGCTGAAAAGTTGCCCCAGGGCTTGCTCTTGGATGGGGCCAGTGCCTAGGGCAGGCTGCCTTCCCTGGCTGAACTGGATTAAATCTGCACTCTAGTGGGTGTGGCTGACCCCTGGGCTAATAGGCCAGGTGAAGAACTCCAATGGCATATGCCAGTCTGTGTCAGCACACCTGTACTAGGTCACAACAGTGGCTGCCACCAATGTCTCAGCCTCTGGAGAGGTCTCCCCTCTCACTGAGATGCACCCAGAGCCTATCAGGTGCATCTTTTTTCACCAAAGGACTTTGAACCTTTCTTTCTGGTGATTTTAGGTTACTCAGGTGAATTTGCGTGTGGGCCCTTTAAGAGCTGGCTTTATTCTGCTTATGTCCATAGCTTTCCTGGGGGTATTCCCTGTTGTAGTTATTAGCCAACAAAGCCAGAGAGTATGACACTTGTCTCAGTTGTGCTGAGTCTAAAGGATGCTTATAGCAATAACGTGACCCCCACTCAGGTCCCCACTTCTCCAGGGAAGGCTACATACCCTAGGGTGACTCCTGCCTGGCTGGCTGTGAAGCTCCGTCACTCACAAAGGTGGCTTTCTTCTCTCCAGAAGGAATTTCTGCCTCAGTCAGGATTGTCCCTTGTTGTGGGGGTTCTTTTCATCCAGTTTTCAGTTCTCTCTCCAGGGTAATTTTTCCAAGAATAGAGGTAACCTGGTTGTGTTTGTGGGAGGAGGTGAGTTCAGAGTCTGCCTACACTGCCATCTCAACAAGATCTCCTAGATTTGATCTGATGGTTTTATTCTTTTCCATTTCTTTCTTGAAATGGTCTGTGCCATTTCATTTTTTTTCATTTCTTTTTGCTGTTTTTATAATCTCTTTATTGAAACATTATATATTTTTTTGAGCTTCTCACTCTATTAATGAGATCATGTCTATAATTTATTTGAGACTATAAAGAACTATTTATATAAACTTTTCCTATGTTTCCTGAAAAAAAAATTTTCTTTGGTAAAAACTTCAGCTACTTTTTCATTGTGTTTCTGCCTCCTTTGCCTATGTTCCAGGATGGTTTTTTTCTATTAATCACTGAATGAAGCCAGCTATTTACTGAACTACAGTGTGGGAAGTGGTGGGAGAATGAATCAGATCGGCCCACAGTAGCTATTTAAATTTCAGTTTTCAAGCCCACCTCCCCAAATATGTTTCATCTTCTGCCCAGGGACCATATTTTTTCCTTATTTTTTACTTTTGGGTGATCTATGTGGCTCACAGAGGTAAAGCTCCCTAGTTTTACTTTCTCTGTATTGTTAATACGCTAGTGATTGACACTGCCTCTGCCTCCCCTTTCCCACTATAATGCTAGTCATCTCTATTATCCAGCGGGCTGTTTCACAACTATCATATATAGTCTATCAGCAATTTGTTCTTTACCCCCATTTTCTACTATTTGGGAATATGTACCTAGAATCTTATGAAGACAAATTTGTTTTCCGCCTGCCTATCCATGCCCATCTCATGGCAACCTCAAGCAAAGTCTTGGGAGGATGCCTCAGGACTGTGAAACTTAGTGAAATCTATATCCTGTCCAAGATATGTGTCAGTCAATTTCCTTTCTCTAATAGTGCAAATGTCTCATTATTTGAAAGCTATTTATCGTCATTTGTTGTTAATTTCTTATAATTACATAGTTTTTATTTTGTTTTTCCCAATTTTTCATTATTTATGTTATTTTGGGAGGAATTTCACAGGAGAGGAGTGAATTATAAATGCTTTTATTTCACTATCTTAAAATGAATCACCATCTATCATTTGTATTTCCACTAGATCAGAGGTTGATCAGAGTATTCTTTACTGACAACCAGAGCTACATAGTTTTTCCCTTCTGTATATCAGATGTCATTGGAATCAGGTATTAAATCTGGATTAAATCTGTGCTGACATGGTTGACAGAGAACATTTCCCTTTGGGGGAAGTAAAAGAAACTATAATAATAGAAAATAAAAATTATTGTAGTTAACCTTTGACGGACATTCTTTTTCAGTCTTTTGTATTTGTGAGTGGTAGTCTGCATTCTGTCACAGATGTTGGCTGATAGAGCGAAGTATGTTTATTGTCTTTTTACTGATTATGTAGACTGTTTCCTGGTTCAAATATACAATAAATCAGAGCTTTTATTTTTCGAGATCCGTAAAAATTATTGTTGGTTGATGAGGTAAGGTTTTATGATTTTAAGGGAGTTTCACTGTAAAATGAATCAAAATCCAGTTTTCATGCAACACTCTACACTACAAGACATTCAATGGCCATAGTTAATAGGAGGTTAAATTTTTCACTGATTTGTCCTTAATGAGGAAATCTCCTTAATAATTTTATGCTAAAAATGTTGAGGACTGAAGAAGAAATAAAATATTCTGTTTGGTTTTTCAATTGAAGTGTTACACAAACCGAGGAATAAAAGCTTATCTGCCTGCCTGCTGAATAATTTTAAATTGTTTATTTAATTATACAATTGAAAATATTCCTTATTATGGAAGTAAAGAAAAATAATAATGCATATTTCATCATATCATAAAAACTAAATTTGTTATACTTGGAGCTTCATTATTCTTGCTCCTTTGGAATAGCAAATAATAAAGTGTGATATTTAAAACAGTTCAAAATCTAAGGGCCAGCTCAAATTTCTGAGAAACTGAATGAGGCTAAATAAAAATACGTAGCTGATGCTTACGAATATGTAGCTCAGAATGTTAGCCGTAATTATTTTGATGAGATGAAGCACTTTGAACACTCTATGGTCTTTAATGAAAGTTTTGCTTTTTATATTTTATAATGTACTATGAAGCATTCTCATGTAACCCTCCTTGGTCTGAAACAAGTGTTTTCTGAAGAAAAATTCAGGCTTTTGATTATATCTTTTAAAAAAGAGAACGTATCTGAGAGAAAAAAGTTGATCACACACAGACACAAATACACACACACACTCCTATATGAATACATACCCAATAAAATACATGGTATACGTAGTATTTTTTTCTTCACTTTTGTGACACGTTATTTGAGTAAATCCTCCTCCATATTTAATTGTATTTATTCATTTAAATATGACTGCTGGTATTGACTGAATGTTTGTGTCTTCACAAAATGTGTATGTCGAAACCCTACCTGCCATGTGATGGTAAGGAGATGGGGCCTTTGGGAGATAGGATTAGATGCGTTCATGAGGTTGGAGCTCTCTTGAATGGGATTAGTGCCCTTATAAGAGTTGAGAAAGCTTGCTTCCTCTCTCTGTTCTCTGCCATGTGAAGATACAATGAGAAGTCGACAGTCTGCAATCTGGAAGAACTCAACCATGCTGGCACCCTGATTTTGGATTTCCAGCCTCCAGAACTTAGTGAGAAGTAAGTTTCTGTTGCCACGCACTCTCTGGTATTCTGTTACAGCAGCCTGATCTGACTAAGGCAATTCCCCACTCTTGTGGGAATGTTTCTACTAAAATTTTAATATTTACAGTGTACAGCCCCTTTATTGTGTAGTGATTTCTGTTATGCTTTCTTTTGTTTTTATTTTCTGAAGTTCTCATTGATCACCAGATCCTGTTTCCAACTGAACTGAATACTAGTTAGAAAGTGCTTGCCTTTTAGTTCAATATTGATAATAGAGAAGTACAGCTAATGCAAAAGAAAGTGGAGGTCAAAATCAAGCAAACAAAACTATTCTCAAGCATAAGCATAAACAGAGAGGTAGGAAAAATGAGATAATGGAACACATAGAAGTGTTATGACTTTTCAAACTGGATTACATCACTTGTTTAAATTATACTCATTTTATTTGTTTTCATCTTCTATGAATAATTTCTACCTAGCTCACTTTTGGAATATAATAGTTAAAGGTTAATTCTTTTTCTGACTAATTGGAAGCAGAAGCTCAGTGCTGGCTGCTTGGTTATGAAAATAAAGCTTAGAGTGGTTCAGCAATTGTGAATTTGTTTACAACATTACCTAATCTGTATTTATCTTCCTCTGTGCATTCTGATAATTAATCTCTCTCACAAGAAAAATTACATAAAATTCTGACTATTATACTCTAGTATATTTTCTTGGTGTCAAATATGCATCTATCATGTGTGTTCTTAAATGCTATCCCTCTCATTTTATTCTGGAGAATGCAAAATAATGTTATCTATTTAACATTGGTTTGGATTATGTTCTCATTTGAAAACTCTTCAGGGTAACATTCATCAATTCGGCAGTCTAGGCAAATAGATTCATAAATCTGTATCATTAGCATTAAGATAAATGCTAATCACAGGCATCATTTATTAAGTAAGATCCTTAAATCTGCATGTGGAATAATATTATTTTCATGATGCCCCATGTGCATTTATCAGTTGAAAACTAAACAGATTGATACATGTGTACTCTTAACAGAAGGAGATATCTCAATTGACATGTTACTCCAACAATCTGATACATTTCTATTTCTTCCTTGACTTTGGATTCCTGCATTTTGCCTACTCTCTCCTCAGTGTAAACATAATGTAGTACGGTGTCAAAACTCCTTCCCTCACAGTTTATGGTGTTTCTACGGTGCCATGGAGAGAAGAGAACAAAAATCCCTTCCTTTCTTGCATGCAAAATGGAAAGGGTAAAGGCATCATTCTATTTTTGTATATTTTCAAGTGCGTAATTTTCTAACCAATACATCATATAATATGTAATACTCCTCCATAAATGAGAACAATATATTTTTCACTCATAAGTAAAACTAGGTCTAATGTTTCTTTTAGCAGAAAAGCAAATGTGAGGGAAAAAGCCATTGCTCTTTATTTTGGAAAAGGTTGCATTGTGAATAGAATAATACCTTCTGGCCACTCTAAGAATAAACCATACACAGAATTGAAAATGCCCTGTAGAGACTACGCTAACTGAATTATTCAAATACATCTCTCAAAGAGCAGATCTAAAATGCTGGCATTCATCATAAAGTTTGAGTGATATGTAATCCATTTTCCATTACACAATTACTCCTCTCATTTCTGTTCAAGTGGTGGCCTTATTTCTGGCTCCTTGATCCTGTCTCTCCAGCCTCACCTGTTCTACATGCCGATGTCAGAATATATGTGTTCATTTCATACTTGCTTTAGAGTTTCTTTTGGTTTTCCATTACTTTGGGATAAAATGTGAATTCCTTAGTATGACGTTTTGGCCCAACACAATCCAATTCTAATGTCACCTTCATCCTCTCCTTCCACCTATTCTATGATCTAGCCACCCAAGACTAGGAAATTCTCCGAACATATTCTGCATGACCATACCTTAGTGCCTTTCCAAGAAAAATCCTTTGCCTCAATTGCCTTTCTCCTGCTCTTGTCTTACTGACAACCTCCTATAAATCACAGACTAATATCCCCATTCACTGAGGCCATCTCTGATTCTTAGAAGAATTAATTCATGGCATTTTCTCACTTTCCCTGTATCTCTTTTGTAGTATCTTTTATGTGAAATTATGATTATTTGGTAACATATCTGGTTTTTATTTAGATAAAGGATGAATGGAGGCTATGCTCCCTGATCATAAGTTCACAATTTTATCTTATAAGTTTAACAAGATTAAAATCAATACGCCCATTGTCTGATGACAAACTGAGGATCCTAGCATAGTGCTTGGAAATTTGTAGGTTTAGGTTATTGGATAATTTGAGATTTAGTTGATTGCCAAAGAGGACAGTATGGCAACAACAGCTTTCACTTTAGTTATACATTTTGATAAAATAATATTTAATTCTTTAAAAGAGGCAGGCAAAACAAATTACTTCATACAATTCTAATTTAAGATTGTGTACTATGACCAAAACAACCATTTTTAATGCTCTCAACTAACGGTATTACCATGGCTCTATAATTATAATGTTGACATCATATACTTGATAGCAATTGGAGGGGCATTCGAATGTGTCCATTTCAAAGCTGTTGTAAGATTGTATATTTTTGTTAAGTAATAAATATAACTTTACTCTTCATGACTTTCCCTCACCTGCCACTTGGTAAGAGAATATATAGAGAGCTTCACACTCTTCTCTTTATACCCTCTGAGAATTTTTGTTTGCTACTTAGTGCCCAAATAAATTTGTGATTCTTTGACAATAATTATGCTTTGACTTATGAAACATGCCTTGCTCAGAAAATACAAATTGTTTTGAAATAAATGTTCTGATAAGTAATCGTGGGATAGACTTGGTTCCACTGGTTTCACAAGTAGAACAGACATTATACTATTGTTCTATGAAAACTTTATTTCAGTAAGCATATTAGTGCATTGTTTATGGCATCCTAGCACATACCAAACTCATTCCTGTAGTGAAAGTAAGAAGAAAAAGATGGTATCAAGGAGATAAGAGGGTGAGAAAGATTAGAAACAGTGGTAAGGAATATTTTGAAAGAAGTTCCAGAATGGTTTTTAAAGTTGGCGAGGAGTAGAATAAAATGAAATGTTTTACAAAGCAAGGATGCCTTTCCACTATTTCTAGATCAATTTTCAAATTTTGTACAATTAAAAGTTCACCTTGGGCCACAGCAAATAAGTTGATATTGGAGAGGACAGATGAGAAGACTTTTTCAATTAATATAATGTGATGTATATTTAAGCTTGTTGGTCTTATTCCTGAATTTTTGGCACAGAAACACAAATGTTTAGTATGATACTGCTGGGGGCACAATCCAGTTGTTGCTGCTGATCTCCTTACTTGTATGGAATGTTGCTGGTTTTGTGCATATAACAAAACTAAATCAGTCATTTCTCCTACCAGAAGCCTGATTGGCAAGAAATGGCTTCCTTAGAGTACAAATTGATCTTTGTATTATAATGTAAAAATAAGTTAAAGATAGAAAAGAAGCTATGGAAATTATAAAAATAGAGTAAGGGTAGAAACACTGAGGATATAAGGTGTATAAAAGCAGAATTAACACTTTTAATTTAAAAAGTGATTTGTATATTCCTTGTATTAACATGACTCCCTCTTTGGGAATTCCGAACTACTCCTGCCTATAAAACTTTCAAGAACAGACCACTCTTAACGCTACATGATTTGTGCTGGCAACATTGTATGCCGGGAGATTACATACGAGTGATTCTCATTCAAGAATTAGTATTTCTTTGTTTTTCTCTTTTGAGGGAAGAAGCATGTGTGGTACTATATAAGTAATTGAATTATATGTATATGATATAGATATATTCTTTATTAATGATATTGATTTTACTATCAAATTTAATCTTTTTTATACTGTCAATAGTATATGTACATTTTGCCATCTGATATGATGAAGCTGAAAATATACTTGATGAGTTTAATGGATGTTGGCATAAATTATTATGCAGGCAAACACACACACACACACAATATTGTAAATGGGGCCTATGAACTGAGAGATGTAAGATGACAGTATAGTGCCTCACTTACTTCCTAGAGGTAGGTTAGCACAGTGGTGGTCCAGGGCCTCTAGAGTCATCTATCACTTAATAGTGTGTGACTTTAAACATTATTTAATCTCATTGCTGCTCAGTTTCCTCCTTAGTCAAATAAGGATAATTACTTGAGTGGTTTTGATACTTAAATGAGTTGATTCATGTGAATATGTTTTGAAAAGTACCTGGCACATACTTAAGTGCTCAATAAATGTTGAGTATTAAAACAATTTTTTTTTCATTGTTCTGTTGGCTCATCTGAGTGGTTCTCCTTTGGCATCTCTTATGCAGTTGCAGTCAAATAGTAGGTGAGGACGGAGTCATAGGAATGTTTTCTCATTCACAGGCCTGATGCCTGGATTGAGAGGGCTACAATCGTGGTAGCTATTTGAGGATCTCTGTCTGTGTGTGTCTACCTTGGGCTTTCTCATGGCATGGCAGTCTCATTAGTTAGCTTGCTTACAGGGCAGCCAACTTTCCCCAGATCAAGCATTCCAAGACATAGGAGGCGGAAGTGGCAAGTCTACTAATGCCCTTTCTACAAACTGGCACAAATATTGGAACTTGTGCCATATTCTATAGGTCAAAGTAGGTTATGAGTCCACTCAGATTCAAGGAGAAGGGACACAGACCTTACCTCTCAATGAGAAGAGTATCAAAGAATTGTAGCCATCTTTAATCTGTCACATATATTGACATTCTTCAGTGGCCTATTTAGTGAATATCAACACTCATGCCTTCTTGGCAGTTGAAAACCTCTCTGGAGTTTAGATATGTTGGCTCTAGATTCTTCACGTTGAGATATAAAAAAACAAAAAAAAGTGGTCGTTGAATAGTTAGCTTTATAATCAGTACAGAATTTCAGCCTATGAAAAATAATACAAGCTATTATTTCCCTTTGATCTGTGTCATTTGTGTGCTGTTGTGTGCACTGGCACTACCTAATAGTCAAACACCAACCCAGAAAAGAGGATATAGAGGAAGAATCATTTATCCTTCAACAAAATCCATAGAGGTTACATATCTCTACATTTATAACACATGAAACAAGACTGTGAGAGAACGGGGTCACATATGTTTCTCTCAGCAGGGTATAAAATTAGAGGTCATTCAGGTTCCATGGAAAAAAATTACCAGAGCAGAGTGGATTCTTCCTAAATCTTAGCAGAAAATAGCAGCATAACTAAGTAAAGGGACTCTGAGCTTCGGAATTATGACTGAAGATATTATACCCCTCTGCTGATATTACACCATCTTTTTAACTGTCCCTTTATTTAACTAATTGACTCCAGACCTGATAGTGGGCTGGCAACTAAGTCAATTAAGTGGCAGTTTGAAACAAGGAAAGCTTTATTTTTCGAGGTGCAGTTTCACAAATTTAGACAGTCTATATAAACAAACGGTTCACTTCTAAATAAATGGAGATGTCAGTTCTGTCAAATAACCTGCAAACTGTTAAAAATAAAAACTTTCCAGGAAGCATGCAGCAAAGTCTCTCACAAAATCATGTGGGTAGTCAAGCTGTATGGCTGTGTAGCCTGGTATCATAGATTAAACACGTCTTACAAGTGCCAGGATAGCTAGATAATTACTTTAGACTTGAACCATTACTTGGTCAGGTCATATTATTCTATGAAATTTTCTCCTAAATTCCACTGGTTGTTCTATTTTTTTATCCTAATGAAATCATAGGGTTACAGTATGGTGGTCATAGAATCATAGCACAGCAATTAAAAATCAATTTCCAAGTAAATAAATTTTTAACTTGGACTTCTTAAACACCATGAAGTGCATATATATATATATATATATATATATATATATATATATATATATAATACAAACACACACTTCTTAAAATCTCCTTTTATGTCCCATCCATTTCCCCATATTTCACAGTTACTTCCAGATCCCTAACTCCAAAAATTTCCATAGAAGCCTCCCTGAGACTATACCACCTACCTCTCATCTTCTTACCCTTACTGCTTTCCTCCTAGCTCTCTAGTTTAATTTTTCCTCATATTCCATCACACAAAAAAGAATCAATCTGACAATTGACAAAATCTTCTTTAGAGAGTTCCAATCACCCCCTCCCCCCATCTTCAATTTCTGAATGGGATCTAAACTGAGAAGTGGGTGGGATGGTTGGTATTCAGAGATGGAAAAGACAGAGTTATGGGAAACGAAGAGATGCAAGCACAGTGTGCTCCTTCTCATTTCTGAGATTAATCTCTGTGAATGAACAAAACAAAATACACACAGTTAGAAGTAACCACAAAGGAAGAGAAGCAAACAAGATACATGCAGTTGGGTTAGTGAAGATCTTCTCAGAGGGGACTCACTTCCACTTCTTGTCTGGCGAATTCTGAAGGTGTCAGGCTCACAGAAGCATGTCACACAAAAGAATGTATGCACTATTTCCTGACATCTTGTCCAATAGAGCATTTGTCCCAGATTTTAAATTTTTGTTGAAAAATTCGTATTCATGTTTGCAATAAAATAAGTCTGGATGGATTTGTTAGATCTTGACTTTATACTTCTGTTTTCTGCCATGCTCTCATTTAGAAATGTGTGAAATGTGTGTAGTAAACAAAACACGTGTTAACATGTGGTCAAACCTAAAAGACAATGAACAACAGATTGTCTCTAATACTGATCATTCCAGACCCAACATAACCAACATCTTTCTATTAAGAACATTATGGGGCTGGCCCCATGGCATAGTGGTAAAGTCTGGCACACTCCACTTGAGCAGTCTGGGGTGCATGGGTTCAGATCCCGGGCACAGACATGCACCACTTGTGAAGCCATGTTGTGGCAGAAACCTACATACAAAATAGAGGAAGATTGGCACAGATGTTAGCTCAGGGCTAATCTTCCTCAAGCAAAAAAAAGAAAAAGAAAGAAAAGAATATTATACAAGACATCCACTATAAAGCAAGGTGGTCTGGGACCCTACTAGCTCAGGACAGCTAGGAACGCTAACTCTTTCCAGACTTAGGTGGTGGTAGGCAAAATATTTGATGCTGTACTTCTTGCCGTCCACTTGGGCTATCATTCAACTGTGGCCTTGTCCATGTCCAGAACTTTGAGATGCGGGAGGCCTCCAGACCTAACATGCCAAAAGGTGGGCTCAGTGGAACATTATAGACAAGGGTACACAAAATCTGCCTGGGCAACTGAGATAAACTCATACTGTACTTGAGCTCATACATAGTAGTCTGAATGTTCTTGTTACAGTTCTGTCATTTACTGTGCGTTATAAATATATAAGTATTTTATTATTTAGTAAAAGTTCTTTTAATTTTGCAATGAACCTTTTCAGGAGCAATGAGCTTAAAGAAAGGAAAGTGCATGCTTAATGAGATTTTAAATATTAAATTTCTATTTGCAAGAAAGTTGATAGATAATATGTAAAATGGACAAAATATATGTCAATATTTATCATCTACCATGAGAATATTAGTGTCATCACTCTGAAAACCGGAAGACATAGAAGACTGCAGAAGAATCTCCTTCTAAGCACGTACTTCAAAGGTTAGTAGTTATTTTATGAAGAATGTACTGGAAGATAAGAAATTAACATATGCCTGCAGAAAGTACATGTATACACAACACTGTGAAATAGAAGTTTTCCATTAGAATAAATGACTACTCATGTAAACAATTTTTCTTATTTTTAATCCCAAGTTTTCTAGTGTGTATGTTGAGACATGTTGGCTGTTAGGTGGTTTTATATCATTGTTATCAGATGTCTCAAATAGAAAACAGTTAAATAATTTCCAATGTTTTTTTGTCTGTCCAATTCATGGAGTCAAATTAAAACTTGAAAATTCAAAAGTAAAAGATTTGCTATTATTGCGAAAGTTGTTCTATATTTAGTTAAAAGAACTGTATAAAAATAAAATTATTTACAGTATAATATGAACTTAAATTAGGCAGAGCACAAGGTCATAGTAAAAAATAAAAACTATTATTAAATTGAGAAATGTATGGAATAATTATATCCTTGGAATTGGATGGGGTTGCATGTAATTCATAAATGTATCCAAACTGTAACTGACATATAACTGTAGTCAGCAAAATCACAAATATTTTTATATATCTTTTATTTATACAACTACAAAACTTTTGTGATAAAACTAGAAGTGAGTACCAAAAAAAAATTCAAACATAATACCACATATTTTCTGTCTTTGTTGCTCCTAAGTAGGATTTTAGAAATATTTGATTCTTTAAAAATACATTTTGTAAATGAATTTAAATGGTCTACAAAGATACTGAACTTTTTATAAACAACATTTATAAAATCTTGTTGCATTGTGTTAAAAACCATTTATAATTTTCTTTTTTTTTCTTGCTGAGGAAGATTTTCCCAGAGCTAACATCCATGCTAATCTTCCTCTATTTCGTATGTGGGTCACCGCCACAGCATGGCTGCTGACAAGTGGTGTAGGTCTGTGCCCAGGAACTGAACCCAGGCCGCAAAAGTGGAGTGCGCTGAACTTAACCGCTAGGCCGTGGGGCTGGCCTCTAGGAATTTTTAATCAAACAATTCAAAAATTGTTGTGCTAATGAAATTCATATTTTGAAGATTTTTCAAATTGCAGTTTTTGAAAAAAAGTTTGTGACATGGTAAGTTAAAATTTACCCCTACAAAATCAATGGATAACCTAAAGAAACTCAATTGGATTTTAAATGATGTACAATATAAACTTTAATTTTGAAATTCTATATTTGTACCTTGGAATATTTTAACCCATGTGAAGAATCTTTTTGTGGAGCTGCTATTATAATTGAATAAGTTCACATGCTTAGAGAAATAAAATGAAATTTAACAGGTTTTCCAATTTGCAGTATCTAAATTTGGCAAAATCTTCAAAAGAATCATAAACAATGGAAAATATTTTACGAATTTTGCATCATACAAATGTTTGCTGAAGAATAGTTCTCTGAATAGAGGTAAAAAGACGGTATATGTGAAAATATTTGTACTGAAAAATTTACATATTTCAATATAAAAAAATTTTCTATTTAGTATAATCTCTCTTTTTAGCTTATTTTCTTAATTTAAAATATAGTCTATAGTAAAGAGTAAATTGAAGGTGTCAAAATTTCCCATATATCAACCATAAAATACATATTTGAGAAGACTGTAGACAATTGAAAAAATTTAAAACAATAATACCATATTGAACATGTATTCTTCAGAAAAATATTAGTGATCCAGTATTATAGACAATTAAGGATGAAACCCGACTTAAAACACATCAACATGTGCCAAGAATTACCATTCTGTTATTTTTAATGTTCATATTATCAATATAAAGACATTTTAAAAGTTTGCTTGAATTTCGTTAATTTTTAGAAGTAATATCACTTTAAAAATGAATTTTGAATTGCAGCTTTTCTAAGTCTCCAATATAAAATCTCAAAAATTTATAACCTTAATTTTATTGCCCTCTTTCAATTTCAAGGGTCCTAGTTTGGACAATATATTAGGCGGTTACCATAATTAACGACCTGGCATGCTTAGGAGAGGTCAAATACACTACAAGAGACTTACAGCTCGCTTTGTGCTTACAAGCAGTCTCAAACTTCCCTTGTGACCAAGTGGGATGAAGATGTAACTGAGAGAAAGAGCCAGTGAGCTTGCCAAAAGTTTGCCGTGACACGGAAGGGAAAGCTCCCAAAAAGAGAGACTCCACATTTAGTTGAAGAGCGGGAATACTTATTCCCAAAGCTCTTGTTTCCTTCACTATGGAGGGACCCATATTAGAACCACAGGCCTAACGCTCGTGTGTCTCTTTACTTCCTCCTGCGGCGGTGGCAATCAGTTATCCGATTGGTCAATTTGGAAAGAGAAAGTCAGCCTGTGCGTGACCCGCCCCTTCCTTTTCTCTCAGAGATGAGCCGCCCACAGGAAGTGCTCATTTTACTCCGCCCCTCCAGGCTGTAAATCGACAGGTACGGATTTGCCTGTGCACCATCTTCCGTTGGGTGCTGCCTGTGACATTGTTGGTAAGTCTGTCAGTTCTAGGCTTCAGTATCAATAAGCCTGCGGTAATAAGCCACAGTCTTCAATATCCTCTCTAGCAGTTTTAAGGCAATACTTTGGTTTTCCTACTGTTTTACTTCTCTTACGTCTCTCAAGGGAAAAGAGACGCTACTTACTGGACTCTCCTCACATCCCAACATCTAGGAGGTAGAGTGGGAATAAGGAGAAAAGGAAAAGGAGAGAAATTCTGTGTTGTAAACTGTGGAGTAAAACTTATGGCATACTTCTGGCATGGCTAGAGTGGGAGCTGTTCAGCTTTGATAGTGTTGAACTAGGCACCGACCACATATTTCCAGCTGTAGTGGGTTGTTACAATTTCTGGCAGTTTTGCCCACAGAAGAGTGGCTGTTTTTATATAAACAAAACTTTTTATGATTCTATTGATAGGGGCAAGTTTGCATGCTTTGGGCTGTAAGCAAAGACAGGCAAGCTTTGAGGGGCTCAGGGAGCAAAATCTGACCAGGAGTGCTGAGACATCCTTATTAAACTCGTCCTACCCGAATAGTTACCGCTGCTTGACCTTGAACTCTGCAGACATGATTTTTTCCAAATAGTCTTGTCTGAGACAAGGGTTTGATTACAGAGAGAGTCTTTTCATGTACCAGCCTTTTAGGTCTCAAATTGTTTCTACCTGCAGGAAATGTTTTGTGCCGCGCCTCGGTTTGTGGCATAGAAAGTCTGCTCAATTCTGATCTTTTTCCATATTGTTATGACTTCCCTCCGGAGTAAAGAGAGGGAACATTGGAGGGACAAATCTAAGAGTGCATGTGACTTGTCTGTAGGTTTAAAAGTTGCTCCTACCTCTTGATCTCAAGCGGCTCTGAATTTGATCATTCCATACCCCCTGACCATGACTTTTGATCACTGAGATTTGAACTGTAATTCCACACATAGGAGGTTGATGCATATCAAATTAAAAAGGAATGGGGCCCTTTACTGTAAAGAGCATATACCTTCTTCGTAAATTGAGGATGAGAACTCAATAAAATTAATGCAAAAACAGTGGCTCAGAAAGCACATTTTAAAAAAAGGCTTGTGCTTGGAATGCTCTCGTTCTAATAATTGATTTTGCTTAGGAGAAAACTTGAGAAGTTAGGAGACAGACTTGACAAAGATGACATAGAAAATAACAATTTGAAGTTCAAGTAGACGTCTATAAGAGGAAATGGCGCTTCAAGGGGATCTAAATGCTGTACAACAGAATATTGGAAAAGGGAGACGTTGTTTAGTTGTTACTAAATTGAAATAGGGACCCGGGCTCCGAGATTAATCAAAAAGAGAAGGAGGCAAAATCTCGAAAGGAGTGGCTCTTTCAAAGAGAGTCAGGAAACTACTGAGAGGTCATGGATAAGGGATGATGTAAAAGGCAATTAGAACAGCATTTTAAAGGCCGAGGAAGAGTAGGAAGGTCTGCAGAACACACGGTAGCATTAGGTGATTTTCAGGATGATATAGTCATTGTGCATTTGTACAGTATGGTTTGTGCCTTCAAGAAATGTGCCCATGAATGAAGACTCAAGATCAGGCGTGGCAAGATGAGGCTTATAGAAAGGAGCCAGGTGAGAAGATGAGTTAAGTCCAAGTTTGGATGGGCTAGATGGGGCTCTAACGGGAGAAAAGTTCCCGTGTGGAATTATCCATCCAGGGAAGTGGAGAAGAAAAGATTTATTTAAATGGTAGATGATTTTAGTAAACTCACAATTTAGTGATTTCTTCATTAGTGGTAGAGAAGATTCTAGAGTTTAAGAAATAGAGGAATATATTAGGAAAAACTAATGTCTTGAAAAGATAAGATGGAAGGCAAGTATTCATTTCCTGCAAACAGCAATAATCCTGTATGTTTTGGAGAAGAGACCAAATTAATAAGCAGGTTAAGCAGTTAGAAATTCGACTTCCAAAGCAGATTAAATAGTTAAAAAATTAACTAAAACTTTCTGAAAGGTGTAAGAGAAGGATAGAAGAAAATAAAAACTAGAGACATAGTTCATTGCAGCAGAAAAATATGTAGCAGAAAAAATGCTATTCGAGGTCTGACCAATTCAGTGATGAAAGACAGTGCCTGAAGGAGGACATAGATGAGGTGTTCATTCTCGTTGGGCCTGTGGGGGCTCCAGCGTCAGAAGCATCATTTGCAGCTTCAGTTCAGGAATCTGTTGAGAGTAATTTTCCAGCCGAAACAAATGGGATAAGAGAGAAACCCTCCTTAAGAGGCCGGTTTCACCAGCTTAGCAATTCCCCAACAAGATGTAGTGGAAAGAGCCTCTGTGGTATAGGATTGAAAATATCTGCTTACTGGAGATAGTAGGCCCCGTTTTGTGAGATAGAATCCACTTCCAACAGTACCAGAGCTCCAGAAATGGGGGGGTCAAGGAGGGAATGGAAATGAAGAGGCTTTAAAAACATGTTCTAGAGGAAAAAACTGTACTTTAAGTAAAAACCTGGTGATCTTGATTGCACAGTTTTAAACTTGTCTGGGAGGCAGAAATGTCTCAAATGTCATTCTTTGAGAAAGGCAACAGTGTGCTGAGTGCATTTTGCTCCCAGATTTGGTGAATCCATAGTGTCAGAATTAATGTGTTGATAGAAGTTTTCTGGAATCTATGCTACTCATGCAAACCAACAAGCATCTTGGTGAAGCTGAAATCAAGAATGTTTCCGTGTCCTCTTCTTCCTTTGGATGCCATTTATTTCTGGTTTCTAAGAACACAATTTGTTTTGGGATAACTGTTCTAGGATCTGGGAATGGCTTGTATTTAAATTTCATGTGTGGGGCCAGTTTTGTTAAGTTGATGTGTTCTTTTACTATTGTTTTTGAACCATACATCCCAAACTAAAACACTAATAGTTCAAAATTAAAGTGACGCAAAAAAGTATACATTGACAAATCTTACTTCTATTCTGCCCCCTGTAGGTTTCACTTATTTAGTTGTTTGTTTAACAAACACTTCTGTACACTTCTGTAATACTTAGTAAGTGCCCAATACTATCCTACGTACTTTGCAAATGTTAACTCATTTATTTCATGTATCAACTCTATGAGCTAAGAATGCCTGTATTTCCCGTTTTGTAGATAGGCTCAAAGAGGTTAATTCATTTGTAAGTGGCAGAGACAGACCCACGCAGTCTGGCTAGAGTACCTAAACTATTTAGTAGGTCCTATGCTATGTATGCCTCCTGTGTCGTTTTTGAAATGCAAATGCATGCAAATATGAATATATATTTTTAATTTTTCCTTTTTTCTACAAAAGAAAGCAAACTTTATACGCTGTTCTGCACCTTAATTTTTTACTTAACTGCGTATCAGTTATATTTATTTCCATTTCCGTATGTAGAGAGCTTCTCATTCTGTTTTACAGCTGGGTGGTATTAATATTTTGTTATGTGAATATGTCATAGTTTATTTAAACAGTCACCTGTTGATGGACATTTGGGTGATTCCCATTTTTTTGCAATCAGAAATAGTGTGGTAATAAATAAACTTATATACTTGTCATTTTTGGCAGGTATATCTGTAGTATAAATTCTTAGAATTTGAATTACTGGATCAAAAGATAAATGCATATGTAGTGTAGTTTATATATTGCCAAATTCTGTAAGTCTTTTACTGTTTTGCATTCTGCTTACAACATGAGAGTTCTGCTTCATCATAGCCTCATCAAGACAGTATTATGAAATGTTTCAATTTTTGCCAGTCTAATAGGAGAAAAATGTTATTTCAGTATTGTTTTAATTTGTATTTATTGTTTAGTAATCAGATATGAATGAGTTGAATATCTTTCCATTTGTTTAAGGGCCACTTGAATTTCTTTTTCTGTGAACTGACTCTCATGTTCTTTGCCCATTTTCTGGGGAGCTTGTAGTGTTTTATTTCCATTCAATATTTAGCTGTGCATTTTATATGAAAGAAACAGACCTTCTGCCTGTGATGTGAATTTCAAATATTTTTTCAGGGTCATCTATTTTTTGACCCTCCCTCTTTTTTTAATGTAGTAAAATATATCAGTTTTTTCTTTTATGGTTTTTAAAAAATATTTATTCTTTTTTTTTTTTTTTGTGAAGAAGGTTGGCCCTGAACTAACATCTGTTGCCAATCTTCCTCTTTTTCTTTTTTTCTCTCCAAAGCCCCCCAGTACATAGCTGTATATCCTGGTTGTAGATTCTTCTAGTTTTTCTTTGTGGGATGCCGCCTCAGCACGGCTCAATGAGCAGTGCTAGGTCTGTGCCCAGCATCTGAACCAGCCAACCCCGGGCCGGCAAAGTGGAGCACGTGAACTTAACCACTCGGCCATGGGGCCAGCCCTCTTTTATGGGTTTTGAATCATATTTAGAAATGTATTTTTCTCTTCAAGTTTATGAAGGAATTTGTGTGTTTTCTTTTAGTACTTTCATGGTTGCATTTTTCTTTCATTTTTATATTTAAATCTCTGATTCCTTTTGAGTTTATCAGTGGTCACAGAGAATAATAGAGATTCAACTTTGTCTTTTCCCAGATGACTATTCTTTGGACTCTTTAAAATGTATCTAGTAAAAGCTTGTCTTTGATAGGATGCAATTTCTGCATCCCTAAAGGAACTATACCCATTTGAGGCATTGGGAATGCCTCTGACTAGAGGAAGTAGAAGAAATTCATCAGGATGAGTTTTGTGCTTTCATCTAGGCAGTCTGATTTCAACGTCTTCCAGCTGTGGCTCACAAGGGCATGAGAATTTGACTATAGACTTTCATTCCTTTGAACCTTAATTTTTTTTGTATTTGACTTTAAAGGTGATTTAATCTTTGGACTTTAACTTCTCCTTGGGAATTTAATAATTTAAGGAGATTATTTTCAAATTTGGGATATTTCAATGATGTTAGGATTTTATTGTTAGAATTTATGCCATTTGATCTAATTGCAGGACCTCTGATAGAAATGCTGGATAATATGTTAGTCATAATTTGGGGTAAGAAATAGAACTGGGAATAA